TAGATATAGATATAGATGTAGATAGATAATATAAAGATATTTAACCAGGCACACCAGCCATGAGGATATAAACTGGCTGGAGAAATCAGCCTGTGTAAGTCCCCGAACGAAATATGATTTATCCTATTTAAATTGGCAGAACCTGCCATAAGATTTCACCTCTGGGACAGTTTTCCTCTTCCTGCAGCAGACAGACTAATAAATCCAGCCATGGACACAGCCTGTGTGCTCCACTGCAGATAAAATATGGATGGAAAAATAAAATATGGATGCAAAGCACCCCGTGAGCACAGCACAGAGCGGTGCCAGAGTGGGATTCAGACACCTATATGTGGATTGCACAAGATCTCACCTATATTTAAGTGGTCAGAATGAATCCCAGCCCATGGATCACTGTGGTTTTCCTCCTGCTGGGAGCTGGCAGGGCCCCATCACTCCTGCCTGCAAGGTAACAAGAGTTAGGGATAAAAATAACCACTGTTGTTATTCAGGACAGGCCCTATAGCAACTGCTGCGTGCCTGAATAATTCATTGCAGCAGGTCAGGCCAAAGAGGACAGAGGGATGGAGAGAGATGGAGAAGGCTGGGATGATAAAAGCAAGGCAGAGGCCTTTCCTGCCTTTTGGGGCTCCCTGGGAGGATGCCAAGTCTTCCATGGGTTCACCTCCCTGCCACATTCCCACAGTTACAGGGTGGAGAGATCAAAACAGCTCACAGAGACTTTTAGCACTTCCTATCCCTTGGAAAAAACAGGAATTAAGCTCTTAAATACAGAGAGGGCCGAAGCTGCAGGGCTCCAAAGGAAGCAGAAGGATCAGGGGTGGATGCAGGAGTGATTTCCATGGGTAGATTGCACACAAGGGGTGCTGGCCAGAACACCCCACCAGCCCTCAGCATGGATTTTCTCCTCCCTTCCTCACACCTCTGTGTGTCAGCATCCACCTGTCCACCTGGATTCTGAGATTCCTTTATGGTGCCTTGTGATCCTTCCAATATTCTGGGGCTTTTTTGTTCTGTGGGCTTTTTTGTTTGTTTGTTTGTGGGGGGGTTTGTTGGTTTTTTTCCCCCTTAGTTCAACTAAATATCAATTTTCAAGCCACAGCTCACTTTCCAAGTTCCATCTATTCACTTTCCCTTATGCTGAGCAACTTTGTCTCACCCATGGAGGGTAGGGGAGAGGCTTGTGGTTCATTCACAGCTCCAAAAAAGGGGGGGAAGAACACCCCAAATTCGATAGAGCGTCACCTTATCATCAAGCAAAACACTGGAGTTGAGGTTTCAGATATATTTGTAATAAAACAAGGATAATTACACAGAATGAAATGTTTTCAATGGAAAAAAACCCACCACTTTCTGTAATTGAAATATTGTGAAGCAAGACCACCTATGAGATGTTTTCATCAGGGTAAATTTTAAGATTTCCAAGGGATTAAAGGGATTTATCCTTACTGGGCTCTCCTGCAGCTGCAGTTGCAGCAGCTGAGCCCCAACCAGGAAATTCACTCTTGCCAGCAGAGCGTTGTCCTGACTCTCATCACTTCCACACATGTGGAAGATATAATTTAATGCTGAAGGAGCCCTTCTTAATCCCCTATCCTGACCTTTTCCCTAACATAGGCTGGAGAATTTCACTCCATCACATCTGCATCTAGCTCAGGCATTTCTGACATCATTTTCTTGAAGTATTTGCTATTCCCATGCACTCTGGTAAATCTTTAAATGTTTCTAGCTCCTGGTTTTTTCCCAGTTGCGGAGAAGAAAAATATGGAAAATTACTGCCAGTGTGCATGAATGGAATTTCTTCACTGAAAAGCACAGCTGGTATCTCACCAGGAGAGCACAGTAAAGGGGTAAGAAGTTAAAGCTCTGACCTTCAGTGCGTTTGGATGGATTGTAGCCACCTTCTTGCTTCCCAGAGTAGGAGCCCAGTGCACAGGGATCTGTTTTTCCTCCCAGATGACACTGGCATGGAATCAGCACAATGATGGGAATTTAAAATCTTGTTGTGGTCCTGCTTCTGATAGACAGCTACTCCA